GACTGCCGAGAGCAGTCAAGCCGCGCACTTCCGCGGGACCTGGGCGCACGCGACCGCGGGGTGTTGCACGTACCATTTGGCGCCTCAATACCTTATTATAGCTCAGCTCCTAGTTATATAGGTATTAATAGCTCTTGATTGTAATTATGCTTTTATTCATTTCTGAAAATATCAGCAACTGAAAATATTATATAGGAAGGTTCAGTGATTCATATGTACATGTGTATAGTATTATATAATAACAATGTTTATCTGGAATGTTTGTATTCAGAAATTAACGATTGCGATTTACAGTTTATTAAAGAGAGTAGAGAAACATTCAGAGTTTGGTAGTAAATACATTGCGTGTTTAGTTACCATTATGTTTTTTATTGAGACGTTCCAAGTGCCTGTGGTAGCAGGGGTCAGACCCTACAGTATATCGTACTACTACGATCATATATATATATATACTAATCGTTATTAATGTGCGCGATGATCTGATGATCTCGTCTTGCTGGTGTTTACTGATATACATGTTCCGTCGGGCATGCAGGCAGGCAGGCGGGCGGCGCGGTAGGGGGGGGGGATGGCGGCGCGGCCCCCACAACAATAACAAGTCAATGAGGCTTTAATGCAGAGCAACTCTGAAAGCAACAATGTTGTCGGGTCAACGTTCAAAGTCGATCGGCAGACGAAACTCATTGCTCTGGTGCGAGATTCAGCCTGCAACTTGTGTGGTAACGGTGAGGGGGTTCTAAACGGAGGAATTTATTCGAGCGCAACATTGGAAGCCGTTGGCCACTATGGCTCATAAGGTCTATGTCTTCCTGGGTACTTGCGGACACTGGCGGCTGCTGTTGTTGTTGCTGCTACAATGTTGCTACTAACTGCTGTTATTGTTGCCTAACAATATTGTTTGTTGATTGTTAATACTAATTTGATTGTTGTTATGACAACAGGCAGCCGCAGTGACCGGCAGTACCAAGGGAGACATAGACCATATCAGCACTACTATGTCGAATTGTTGCCCCCCCCCCAACAGAGTTTGATAATGATTTCCCGCGGGTGACGTAAAGTAGAAAGCCCGTCCCCCCGTCAGTAAAGCCGCCCCGGCTACGTTAGAACTATGGATGTTATCACTGCCTATCATTAAATATTACTAGAAAAAGGAAGATCTTTTCAAGGATAACATAGGTTGCCCATGTTTTCAAAACCGGCCAAGACAAAAACTCGTCAAAAATATCCTCCTAAAACTCCAGTTTCTTTTTCACACCGACGGGACTTTTGCCTCGACTATACTTACTCTGTTCGACACGTTTTCACACAAGTTTTGACATTGTGATCTATATGCCGAGGTTACATAAAATGGACGAACTCTTATATTCTAAGATGGCAATGAGTCTCACAAGCATCGCTTGCGATGGTCTTTTTGTTGGCTCTGATCGCTGTTATACTGACTCTTAGATTACCGTAACAACAGCTGAAGAAATAGCACCGTGTGCCTTATTGTGATGTAGCCTTTGAAATATTTCGCAACAAGATGGATGACATTATTGCTTAGGTAGCAGCTCGGGATAGATGTAGTAAGTAGCAGACTCTTGCTCAATTGCGGAACCTCTGTCACAATATGCAGGCGACCTCCGTCACAATGCAGCGACCTGTGTCACAATGTAGCGACCTCTGTCACAATGTAGCAGTCTCTCTCACAATGTAACGACCTCTGTCACAATGCAGCGACCTGTGTCACAATGTAGCGACCTCTGTCACAATGTAGCAGTCTCTCTCACAATGTAACGACCTCTGTCACAATGCAGCGACCTGTGTCACAATGTAGCGACCTCTGTCACAATGTAGCAGTCTCTCTCACAATGTAACGACCTCTGTCACAATGCAGCGACCTGTGTCACAATGTAGCGACCTCTGTCACAATGTAGCAGCCTCTATCACGATTTAGCCGCCGCTGTCACGATGTGGCAGCGTCTGTTACGATGTAACAGCCTCTGTCACTATGCAGCAGCCTCTGTTACGATGTAGCAGCCTCTGTCACGATGTAGCAACTTCTGTCACAATGTAGCAGTCTCTATCACGATGTAGCGGCCTCTGTCTACATGTAGCAGCGTCTGTTACGATGTAGCTGCCTCTGTCACGATGTAGCAACTTCTGTCAAGGTGTAGCAACCTCTGTAACGATGTAGCAGCCTCTGTCACGATGTAATAGCCTTTGTCACAATGTAGCAACATCTGTCACGATATAGGAGCCTCTGTCACGAGGTAGCGGCGTCTGTCACGATGTAAAAGCGTGTCAGTTACAGTGTAACAGCCTCTGTCACGATGCGGCAGCCTCTGTCACGATGTGGCAGCCTCTGTCATGGTGTAGCAACGTCTGTAACGATGTAGCAACCTCTGTCATGATGTAGCGGCCTCTGTCACGATGTAGCAGCTTCTGTCACGATGCAGCAGCCTCTGTCACGATGTAGCAACTGCTGTAACGATGCAGCAGTATGGGACACGTTTTCTCTTTGCAGCGACAAAACATGTAACTGCAGCTATTCCCTCTCATTACAGCTATGTATAGACTCTGTCTGTGCTCACAATAAAACGAAGGCTCGAGTGCATGTAACCGATTCCCTTCTGCACTCGAAACAGATCTGCAGCGTTAAAGGATTCACCACATCTCTCGCTGCGCGCGCCTTTGATCGCGTTAAATAACTTATCCTTGTTTGCTATATCATTATCAGGAGTGGATAAACGGACTTTTATCCAGGACCCTTTTATCCACTCGTGATATAATATTTATAGTACTGTTTGCTTTAATATTTGTTTACCTGTACGAAGCAATACGTGGTGAAATAATATCGCCACCATCGAACCCAATACGCATGCGCGCGTGAGTGTATTTGCTAGTTGCTGTGTGCTAGCAACGCAACGCGGGATTCGAATGTTACGGAACATATTTGCATGTGATGAACAGTCGTCGGACATTCCTTAACCCGTGATTGTCATCCCATTGTCATCCTACGTCTGTCACCAGAAATGACACCCGTTTGTCACCCGTCACTCGCGCAACGCCCTTCCGTGTTACTGCGAATCCGTGTTGCTTCGTGTTGCTTCGTGTTGCTATGTGTTGCTCCGTGCTGCTCCGTGCTGCTCCGTGTTGCTCCGTGTTGTTCCGTGTTGCTGCGACTCCGTGTTGCTCAGTGTTGCTCCGTGTTGCTCCGTGTTGCTCCGTGTTGCTCCGTGTTCCTGCAAATCTGTGTTGCTCCGTGTTGTTCCATGTTGCTCCGTGTTGCTCCGTGTTACTGCGAATACGTGTTGCTCCGTGTTGCTCCGTGTTGCCTTGAATTCTTGTTGCTCCGTGTTGCCTTGAATCCGTGTTGCTCCGTGTTGCTTCGTGTTGCCTTGAATCTGTGTGGCTCCGTGTTGCCTTAAATCCGTGTTGCTCCGCGTTGCTCCGTGTTGCATTGAATCCGTGTTGCTCCGTGTTGCTAGGTGTTGCTGCGAATTTGTGCACAAGCTACTATAATGGATCAAAGAGTTCGACAGTCCATTACCAACCCGCGTAGATGCTGTGTACCTAACAAGGTTCGAGAGGCGCGACGGGAGCTACGGGTAAAGGGAAAACGCGGATCGATGCATGGTGCGGCCCGGCTGCGATCATGCGCTAGCATGATACGACACTCGAAGTTTGAACACCCTCACTCAACCATTCGGTTTTTTCTTACTCAGCCGCTCGGATTTCGGAGACACAAATCAAAGCCAGGCAATCGATCTTCATTACGCTAACATGATACACACTCGAAGATTGCTACATTGCAAGTTTTTCACTTAAAAAGTTGCTTAAACAATTTATTAATTCTTTAATTACACACATATACACTAGTTATAGCTTTCATAGAATGATTCACACTGAATGAAGGATGGGGGGTAATTGATCAATCATATATCGCGGCAAAAAGGAATAAGATGTGAAGGGTATAGCAGGCATTAGTGGGCTGAACACTAAAGACTACGAGTAGAGGTACTGCTCTTTTTGTAACTGTAACGTTGACGATACTACAAGGAGATGACGGGCAACACACGGACAGGATCGACTTCGCCACATGTGTATATACTATATTTAGATTAGAATTATCTAAATTAGCTGTATCCCGATATTCGCGGGATAGTACATTCTTGTGTTGATACCAGATTTCAATGCTTGGTATCACGCCGGGATAGTAAAAAAAAATCGTCAAAATCAGAATAGTGGATGTTGATATATCAAGTTTATACGGCAGCGCATCTGCGCGAGTTCGCGTCGTCGGCGCATATGGGTAGGGCGCTCGATAATGCTCAATTTTTGACGCATTTCAATTGATCTCTTTCGGAGTATGTGGCCCTAATGTTGGTTTTAATGGATACCGGTCGAGGCGTTGTCGCGTGCATGGTATAGCTGCATTACAGATGGCATATGTATAGGCACGGTATAGCTCTAGAACTATAGCTCTTCGCTCCGCCACAGGCGTGCGACACACACACACAACTGTGGCGGAGCGAAGGGCTATAGTTCTAGAGCTAGGCACTGTACTGCAGTACGCGCGCGCGCGTGTCTGTGTGTGTGCGTGCGTGCGTGCGTGCGTGCGGCCGCGTGTGTGTGCATTGGCTACAAAAAGTTACGATAAGAGTATCGAAGTGTGACGTCACGTTGGCAAGACAACGTACGGGCTGGTTCTACACAAGCCACTGGCTCCATAACATTAACTGCGTGAAAATGTTGTGCGTACGTAAAACACGAGTGTGTGCGCTGCAGACAGCGGTAAAGCATCGGTAGCAAGTCGATCTTACAATATTTAATAAATTTAAAAAAAATCCCAATTTTTTATTTTATTTTTTATTTATTTTTTCGTTGCTTTTCACTTCCATCCTTTGGAAATCTATAAAAACTGCAATAATGACTCTCAGAATGGTACTCTTAGTATCGAGTGTGTGTGTGTGTGCGTGTGTGCGTCCGTGCGTGCGCGCGCGTGCATGTGAGTGACGAGTCACTACCAGCAGATTCGAGTGCACCTACATGATTATGTATTCATACTGGCTGGCCTGTTCTCTTTTGCAACAGACTGGAGTTGCCTCGCATGGGGAACTTCTGAACTCTCATGCTCCAGCTGAGAAGCTGACTGCTGAACTAGAAAGCAGTGGAGTGGAGGTATGTATAGTGTTACAACTTAGTGAAGCAGTTGAAGGTAATTAAATACTGCCTATAGCTGTACTAAACTGTCCTTTTAGTTCTATATTTCACAGTCGCAGAATATTTATGCAGAAATCTTTATTACTATGATTAACAGATGATATTACATATATAGATATATATAGAGAGAGATAATATTATGTATGATATACATGCGTACGTACATTTGGCACGTTTTGTTTCTGTGAAACAGATGAGAGTTGCATCACCTGGGATACCAAGCCATCTCCATCACCGAACCACCAGTGATGAGGAGATGTGGAGAGGTGGCGAGAGAGACACACACGCACACAGAGAGATACAAATTGATACAATAGATGTGTTTGTGTTAATCTATCGGTCTATCTATCTATCTATCTATGTATATATAATGATGTTTACCTAGAATTCACACACACACACACACACACACACACACACATATTTGTCGTAGCTGCGAAAATGTAAAATTGCGCACCTGAATTTGTCGCTGTGCATGCGAGCGAGTTTTTGTATGTCGAGCGACGAACGCACATGAAGTGTCGCTTAAAAGTAGTTGAACGCGCGCGCCGTCCTTGTGTTTGCGTAAAAAATCCCTAAAACCTCCATGATCAGCGCGCAACACAATGCTCACTCACTCACAAACAATGTGATTATGTCCGAACTCTACCGAATTCCGTAAAATCGTCCGAATCGTTCTGAATCGTTTGATCGTTCGAATTCGACCGAAAATAACCTCCCAACCCTAACAGTATCCTTAATGTATTATGTATACTTTTATGCGTTTTATGTACTAGGGCGACTCTTTTTGCTTGCGGTCCGCCACTAATATTCTTTGATCTATTTCTATTTCGCGTTTCGTGCTATTGAACCTGTCAGCTCGTCTAGATGGCAGACAGGCGGTCGATCAGAGAACTGTAGATGTAGATGTTTGCCCGAGCAAAACAGGGCGTTGGGAGACAGAGGAAAGGCTGCAGAGAAGATAGCGGGAGGCGGTGAAAGAAGAAGGAGACTGAGCGAAAAACAGGGGAGGCAAGGGGAAGGGCGCAAGGGCATAAAGTAGGTGTTTTGTACGCTACAAGCTAGGGCGCTCTCCTAATGATAAACATATGTCAACTGATAAAAGTTTATTAGAGAAATCTATGCTGAGATAGGCCCTAACCATTTTAAATGCATATTCATCACAAAATATAACTTCTCTGGTAAGATATTGCGCATGCGCGAACACACTGACGTAGCCATATTGAGTACTGTCTTGTATACGCAGCCGGGACCTTACATTCATGGTCTTCCTCCTGTTGCTTAAATGATGTCTACAGATGGAATGTTATCATATAAATCTATGCTCGGATAACTCCTCTTTATTTTAAATGCATAATCTTTGCACACTACGATTTCTCTCGGGAGATATTACGCATGCGCGCGCACCGTGTTTGTTAGGCGTGCAGTGCCGTCTGAGGCAAACTTCATAATATAGCTTGCTGAGGGGGAGAGGGAATGCGAGACTAAAGAAATGCGGCAGGTAAGATAGCTGGGGGCGGTAGAAGAAGAAGGAGGCTGAGCGAGGGACAGGGTAGGCAAGGAGAAGGACGCGAGGGCATAAAGTAGGTGTTTTGTACCATACATGCTAGGGCGCTCTCCTAATTATAAACGCAGGTGTAATGATCAAAGTTTATTAGGAGAATCTATGCTGAGATACCCCCTAACCATTTTAAATACATATTCATCACAAAAAATAACTCCACTGGTAAGCTATTGCGCATGCGCTAACACACTAACGTAGCCATATTGTGTACTGACTGGTACATGCAGCGGGTACCGTACATGCAAAGTTTTTTCCCATTTCTTATGTGATGTCTAATGATAGAATTTTATCATAGGAATTTATGCTAGGATAACTCCTCTTCAGTTTAAATGCATAATTTTTGCAAATTCATTTCCTTCTCTGGAGATATTGCGCATGCGCGAGCACCATTTCAGGTGTGCAGCACGGACTGAAAAACACGGCATAATAGAATTTGCGGAGGGAGAGAGGGGTAGGAGACTGGGGAAAGGCGGCAGGGAAGATAGTTGAGGGGCGATAGAAAAAGAAGGATGCTGAGCGAGAGACAATGGAGGCAAAAGGGAGGATGGACGAGGGTGAAATAGTGGTTTGGCACCCTACAGGCTAGGGCGCTCTCCCAATTATAAACTCAGGTCCACTGAAAATAATATATTACATAAATCTATGCTGAGCTACCCCCTAACCATATTATTTTTTTATTCATTACAAAATATAACTCCTCTGGTGATATACTGGGCATGTGCTAACACACAAACGTAGCCAGATTGTATACTGACTGGTATACGCAGTGGGTACCTTACATGCAAGGTCTTCATCACATTTGTTAAGAGATCTCTACTGATGGAATTTTATCATATAAATCTATGCTAGGATAACTCCTCTTCATTTTAAATGTTTTTTTTGCGGGATATATTCTTCTTCTCGAGAAAGATATTATTCCTCATTCTTGTTGTTTGTGCACAGCGGCGTGCGTGCGATTTACTTGTGTGTTGCAGAGGAGCATTTTAACGGCGAGAGAAAGTAGCGAAACATACATTGTGTTTATTTACCATCATTTTACTGTTGAAACGTTCCAAGTGCCTGTACATGTGGCTACGGCGGCCTGGCAGGATAGATGTGACGTCACGAGCGAGTAATCGCCGTACGAGCATTTGTTATCGGAGAGCGGTAATTTCGTATATAATATGTTAGCTCGCGCATGTAGCAACATTACTGCGTGATGATTCTGACAGATTATTTGAATTGCTAAAATAATATAAATATATCTATGATATATTCAAGTGTGACTGGGTTATTTTGACATTTAAAAGCTCGACACAAATCCTTTAATCTTAATTTTGTTTCTGCCAACTGCATGGCTCCTGCGCATGCTCAGTATGCCAGCAACTGACGAAGGTCAGAGCAACTTCTTCAGTCAACGCACACATTAATACAGACGGGGTTTTATTTTGTCTGGCCAACTTTAGTTGTTCAATATCGACTATATGTTAACAAATACTCAAGTTCAAAACGTCGCTATTTGTGTTTATTTTTGCGTTAAGTTTCCTGATAAAACTTGTATTATCATATAACATTTAATGATAAAAATGATTGAATAAATCCACCGAATCAGTGTAAATTCTTCTGCGCTCATAACATCATGTCATTTTCACTATTAAACAGATTGCTACATTGCAAGCTGTGAAGTATTTTACTTAAAAAGTTGCTTAAACAATTTATTAATTCATTAATTACACACATATACACTAGTTACAGCTTTAAAGAATGATTCACACTGAATGAAGGATGGGGGAAATTGATCAATCATATATCGCGGCAAAAAGGAATAAGATGTGAAGGGTATAGCAGGCATTAGTGGGCTGAACACTAAAGACTACGAGTAGAGGTACTGCTCTTTCATATAGGCAATACTGAAACGGATCTATTGATCGGGCTATAACAATGTACATGTCGCATCAAAATTAGATGTTATCAATAACAACAACAACAACAACAACAAAACACCATTCAACTCTGGAATTGTTACACATATGCGTATAGTATGGAGGTTTTTCAGTTTCTACTATCTTTACATGCTTACGCGCGTGTGCCGTGAGAGCGCAGATAGGAACACAGAATGTGTGTTTGTGGTGAGGTGTGTGTGTGTGTGTGTTTGTGAGGAGGTGTGTGTGTGTGCGCGCGCGTGTGTGTGTGTGTGCGTGTGTGCGTGTGTGCGTGTATGCGTGCTTGTGTGTGTGTGTGCGCGTGCGTGCATGCATGCGTGTGGGTGTACGTGCGTGCGGGCGTGGGTGCGTGCGTGCATGCGTACGTGTGTGCGCGTGCTTGCGAGCTTGTGGGCGTGTGACACAACAAAGCATAAATAAATCATTATATATATACACCTGCGTATGTTCCTTCGCACCGATTCCATTATTCAAAATAAACACACAGTTGCATATTTAAAATAACCAGCGTACGTTAAAGAATCTCCGTCGATGCAGGGGGCAGCGTGTGTGTGTAGCCGCAGCAGACGCTCTGTCTATTCAATATGATACTTCGCACAATACACTGCTCGAAATCAATGCGCTTCGCAACAGACACTGGCAGTGGCGTGCAGGTGCATTCAACAACCCTGGCTATGATCACAAGCCGCCTGCATCCACCCGTAGCACGAGTGTAGCATCGCCGCTTTCGGCGCGCGGATTCGACGAAAGCGGGTTTCGGATTTCCGGATCGATAACACGCGATGAGAGTATCTGCGAGATTCGTGCACCCTTTAGCAGACCTTTGCGTAATACCGTGGTATACTATTGATTGTTGTTATTGACAACAGCAGCCGCAGTGACCGGCAGTACCAAGGGAGACATAGACCATATCAGCACTACTATGTCGAATTGTTGCCCCCCCCCCCAACAGAGTTTGATAAGATTTCCCGCGGGGTGACGTAAAGTAGAAAGCCCGTCCCCCGTTCATTAAACCGCCCCGGCTACGTAGAACTATGGATGTATATCACTGCTATCAATTAAATATACTAGAAAAGGAAGATCTTTCAAAGGATACAAGGTTGCCCATGTTTCAAAACCGCCAAGAAAAAACTCGTCAAAAATATCCTCCTAAAACTCCAGTTTCTTTTTCACACCGACGGACTTTGCTCGACTATACTTACTCTGTTCGTACACGTTTTCACACAACTTTTGACATTGTGATCTATATGCCGAGGTTTACAATAAAACTGACGAACTTTATATTCTAAGATGCAATAGTATCCCACAGCATCGCTTGCGAGTGTCTTTTGTTGCTCTGATCGCTGTTATACTGACTCTAGATTACCTGTAACAACAGTGAAGAAATAGCACCGTGTGCTTATTGTGATGTAGCCTTTGAAATATTTCGCAACAAAGATGGATACATATTGTTAGGTAGAGCTCGGGGAATAGATGTAGAAGTAGAGACTCTTCTTCAATGTAGCGACCTCTGTCACAATGCAGCGACCTCCGTCACAATTCGGCGACCTGTGTCACAATGTAGCGACCTCTTTCACAATGTAGCGACCTCTGTCACAATGTAACGATTTCTGTCACAATGCAGCGACCTGTGTCACAATGTTGCGACCTCTGTCATAATGTAGCGACCTCTGTCACAATGCAGCGACCTCTGTCATAATGCGGCGACCTGTGTCACAATGTAGCGACCTCTGTCACAATGTAGCAGTCTCTCTCACAATGTAACGTGGTGGAGGAAGAGGAGGAGGGGAGTGGATGAGGTAGAGGAGGTAGAGGCG